TGAGTCTCACTTCTCTATTCCAAGGATTTCTAAAGTATTTCCACTTCTATGTGCATTTCACTTTTAGCCAGCAAAGTTGCAGGAGTCTATCCTAAGGACATAATCACAGAAATGTGGAATTATGAATGCCCATGGGTACTCATTGCATGTCGGTTTTGAGTATCTATTAAAGGTGCTAAAGATACAGTAGTAAACAAAACAAATAAAGAACCTTGCCCTCATGAAGCTTATGTTCTAAATGGGAAGATGAACAATAACTAAAATATTAATGTGTGTAGAATGTATATTAGAAAAGGACTGAAGGGGAAAAAATTAAGCAGGAGAAGGTAAGATATATTTGGGGGGAGTGGGGTAACATTTTAGACCTGGTCACTCATGGAAGCCATCACTGGGAAGGTGACCTTTTAAAAAAATATTTTATAAGAGTTTATTTGAGCCAAAACTGATGGCAATGCCAGGAAGTAAGATTTCAAATGCGTCCTGAGAAGGTGACTTTTGAGGGAAGACCTAAAGTTGGCAGAGTCAGCCAGATATTATCTGGGGGAAAGAGCTTTTCTAGGAAAGGGATCAGTAAGTGCAAAAGTCCGGAGGCAGGTCCACACCTGGTGTGTTCAAGGGTCAGCAAAGCAGCCAGCCCGCTGGAATGGAAAGGACAGAGGAGAGAATGGAAGCAAAACAGGGTCAGGACGAGCCTATTAGATCATAGAAAACACTGTCTCTACCCTCGGTGAGAAGAGAAGTCATGGAGAGCTCTGAGCAGAGGACTGGCAGGATCTAATTTGTGCTTTTGCAGGATCACTCTGACTGCATGGGGCACAGGCAGAAGCAGGAAAACCACTTAGGAGGCTCCTGTCACAATCCAGGTGACAGGTGATATTTGCTTGGACCAGGTTGGTGGCAATGAGAGTGTCAGTTGGATGCTGTCGAAGATTAGATATATTCACAATCCAGGTGACAGGTGATATTTGCTTGGACAGGTTGGGGGCAATGAGGGTGTCAGTTGGATGCTGTCGAAGATTAGATATCTTGAAGGTAGAGATAGATTATGAGATTTACTGAAGGATCAGACACAGAATGTGGAAAAGAAAGAGGGCAAAGGATGATGTGAGATTTCTGACTTGATTAACTAGAAGAATGAACTTATCACTAACTGCGATGAGAAAATGTGCAGGAGACACCAGGAGCTCAGGGTTGGACACGTGAAGTCTGAGCTGCTTGTTGGACAGCCACGTGGAGATGTGTGGGTCTTGAATTCTGGGGCTAGATATAGAGATGTGGGAGTCACTAGCATTTACATCATTCCTGAAGTCATGAGACTAGAAGAGATTACCGAGAGAGTGGACTTAGAAACGTGAAGGGATTCCTGGACTGAGCCTGGGGCACTCCAATATTGTGAAGTCAAGGAAATGAGAAGGAAAGGGCAAAAACCATGACAGAGCAGGCAGAAGGGTCAGGGAGAGAGTGGGCATGTCTAGTCCTCAAAGCCAAAAGAAGACAGAGTTTCAGGGAGAAACCCACTGTGACTGATGTACTGACAGGTCAAGTAAGATAAGGACTAAATCATTTCATTTGCAATGTGTGGTCATTGGTCAGCTTCGTGAGTGGATTCAGTGGGGGCAGATCTAAGAGAGAAGGAGAGAGGAGAGAAGTTGGAAGTGAGTATATACAAACACTTTAATGAGTTTTGCTCTACTAAGGCGAAGGAGAAAAGGGACTAGACCTGGAAGTGTTGGTTTTTTTGTCAAGATGGAATAAGTCAAATAAATACCAAGTATTTTGTTAGTAAAGTTATTAGACATAGAATTGAAAAGCATATTTAGTTCTCAATTTTTTCTTGATTTTCACCTTTCGCCAGAGCCAAGTGTATGAAGAACGTAAATTTCATGAGCTCTGCATAAACTGGCATAAACTGGCAATAAGATCGAATGAGGAAAGTTTGGGGTGGTCTGGGCTGCAAGGGTATTTTTGTACGTAGCTTCTGAATTAATGCCTCCCTCTGTGCACAACTCCACCACCTCCACCTGTGGTTAAACCTCTACTTAGAGGAAATCTCCAAATTGTATATAGAAGCATTCACAGCCCCACACATGTTGAGGACAATGCTGTTTGTTAAGACTCTTGGTGACATTTAGAAATGAACTTGGGGGGAAATTTCAAGACTCCAAACATCTCTGAACCTGACGTCAGTAATATTTGTTTTCCAAATTGAGTTTCCAGCCTAATGCGAGCTCTCCGAACATTCAAAGGCGCACCCTGCTATCAGAAGCTAGTATTTTAAACAAACTCAACTAAGAATATACTAAAGTACCCTTACTGTAATTCCTCGCCTAGTTCTACAACCTTCCTCTTTAGCTCCTGGTTGTCCTTGATTGCGGCATGAGCCGTGATTTCGGTCCTCATTTTGGAAGCGGACAGGGCTGCCGATTCATCTTCCAGCTCCTGGACCCTGTCCCTCAGCGAGCTGAGGAGGGAGGCCTTCCTCGCATTGTTCTCTTTGTAGTTCTCCATCTCGGCTTTCAGTTCCTGACAGGAAGCTTCTTTAGAGAGCATTTTGGACCGGAGGTCTCGAAGCTTAATATGAAAAAGAAATGAAAAGGCCAAAAGGATTTCAATGGCATAAGTTTGAAGAAACCCAAAACCGTAATTGCAAATTGCACTCCTTTATTCATGACCTCATCCACCTTCCCTTTTGTTTCTTCATATATGTGTCTGTATTACCAGATGGGAATTCATGCCTTAATCATAGACTTCATGTTCTGTTTTATTGCTTTTTTTTTCAAAACCAATTGAGCAATGCCTTGTGGTAATTTACTCTCACTCAAGAGACATGTGTGGTGTGTTCTGCAAAAGGCAATAAAACATTTTGCAATGGTAACCCATTTTCTTAAATGCATATTCCTGCTATTGCTGCTAAAATGAAACAAGGAGCCTACCTGCTCTGCTATTTGTAATTTCATGGCCACAACCGCTTCCCTTACAGGATTTACACAAAGGAAACATTTTGGCTTCTATGAAGTCTATGGCATCAAAATGCTGCACAATGTATGTGCCCTATTAAGTCATGCTATCAGGCCCACCCTATAAGAAGCCATTATGAATGCATGTACTTCTTTGGAACTGTGAGCATGCATCATACATGTATATTCTCATTTTTTCTCTCTCTCTCTCTCTCTCTCTCTCTCTTTCTCCTCCTCCCAAATACATTATCAACTCGTGTTTTATAAGGTCCTGGCAGCCCCGTGAAACCGATAGTTACCTCACAGACAAGCCCAGGCTCCTCAAGCTCAAGGCCACCAGGATGTGAGCAGAATGGGTCTAAGGAGACTCCCTCAGAAATTCTACAACAGACCTGATCCAGCCCAGAGGGAGGGGGACTCCAGGCCTCTTGCTAGAATTTCCCCCACAATCAGAACTGTCACAAGAAAGGGCTTGAGAATTCCCTCCTGTGGGCTCCAGCCTGCAAGCAATCCACCTTAAAGGGGCTTAGTCCAGAAGAAGCTAACGGTCCTCCAAAACCCAGGCTGCTGCAACCCAGAGAGCTCAGGGGCGCCCAAGGAGGTGGGGCTTCTCTGAGATGGAGAAGGCCGCCCCTGCCGCCTGGCTGAGCAGCATGACACATGCATAACCTTTCAGGAATCCTCCCCAACTGGGAGGTGGGCACACAGGAAGAGAATCAGTGTCAGCTTTGCGGAAAGGTTTAAGTCTGGCCTGCTGTTCTGTTTGTAATCGCCTCTCTGCTCTGCCTTACTCTACCAGAAGCTGAGAGTCCCGTTTCTGAGTTAGGAAGATACATCATCTTACCTCGGACTGAGCACATTCAAATTTGACCAAAGTGGCTGCAAGTTCACTTCGGGCGTTTTCGGCCACATTCCGATAGTGGTTTAATTGCTCCCGAGTGGCTGGGGCTTCCAGGAGATGGTCGTAAATTTCCTGATAGGGTTCCCCAAAAGACAAAATAGAAAGGAGAGTGAAAACAACCTTTCTGTGCAGCTGTGCGGAGCAAGATTAAATACAGACGCGGCCTCCGTCGTCCACATGTGTCCAAATGCTGCCTAGACACGTGCTTTGTTCCGATCATTTCATGCTCGCTCCCAAAATGCTAAGGGAGGCAGGAGGCCGCGCGGGAAAGGCGGATGTGCTCCCCCAGGAAGGCATTAAGAATTGGCCTGTGTCCCTTTAGAGGCTTCCTCCCACCCTCACCCCCCAACCCCAGCCCAAATGCTATTCGGCCTCAGACCAGAACCTATAGACAACAAAGAACAGTCAGTCAGAAGAGACACCATGGGACATGGCATGGAACTAGGAGGCAGTTTCCTTGGTAATTATTCACTATGCTCTTTGTTCTCAATCTCATAGTCTCTCTCCAGATCATGAAGGTGACTTGGGTCGCCTGAGGAGTCCTCACCCGTCAAGAAAGGAACTACCCACAGCTAATGGGGGCCAGTGCAGAAATACAGACCCCAGCATGGCCAAACTGCCCCAATTTTTCAAGACAAGTCATATATCCAGGCTTTTCAAAGTAAAAAATCTGCAGTTTTTGCAGCTTGGCAACTAATTTCAATGTTTTTAAAAGAAACACCGTGTGACCCAAATAAACACATCTGCAGAGCAGATCTGATGGGTTTGGTCTGTGTGTCACTCAAGTTCCTGTGTGTCACTCACACCATAATGCCTGCTTCCTTCAACTTGAGCCGACACTTACACCCACCTCCATGGAGTTTCCAGGGCCTGTGGTCTTTGGGAAGGACATACAAGAAAGCCCCTCGTTTCGAAGGAATATGAAAGAGGTCACATGAAGGAGGATTTCCTGGAATTATCTAAGTGGCCCCGGGGGACACACCAGTAAAACCTGTTTATGACTGCCCAGCCACTCAACTGCCAAAGACTACTGTTTGGAATACTCATGAATGCAAAAGTCATTCTAAAGCCCTTAACTTTCCAACAAGCGTTGTCATGGCCAGTGTGTTTCAGGCCACAAAATGCCAAACAAAACCTTCAGTGCACTTAGGAACGGCCAGTGTTTGCCAATCACAACATATCCAAGAAGACAGTAGGTATGTGCTCCTGGGGAGAAGACATAAAACTTTTAACTGCATCTAATAAGAGAACCACATCCTGTTCAGCCTCACTCGGCTTTCAGAAGGAACTTCTCCGCCCTAACCACCACAGCAGTATTTTCTGAAACCTGCCATGGGTAGTAAGGACCTGGGTCACTGAGGAGAAGCTGGAACTACAATATGCTTGGTACACAATTTATAAAATTCATTAAGAAAATAAGTTCAGCCTCGCCAGTGTAGCTCAGCGGTTGAGTGTCGACCCAGGAACCAAGAGGTCGCTGGTTCAATTCAGTCGGGGGCACATGCCCACAACTTCGGGCTTGATCCCCAGTAGGGGGTGTGCAAGAGGCAGCCGATCAATGATGTTCCTCTTTCATCAATGTTCCTATCTCTCTCTCCCTCTCCCTTTCTGTCTCTCTAAAAATCAATAAAAACGTATTTTAAAAAACAATAGAAAGAAAATAAGTTCTTCAATAGCTATGATTATTTCCTCCCATGACTAGTATCATTTTTCAGGCAATGGAGTCGTATACCAAAATTTTACATTTCCTTCTTATGAAAATACATTGTGTCCATTGAACATAATATTGAGAGCCTCAGAAGACAGTTCAGACCTGGCCCTTCATTGTAGGAGGTTGCAATCTAACGCAGACACTACCAGAAGCATTAACATCTTCAAATGTCCATTGGTGAAAGAAACTACACATGGAGATGTCACTGATGCTGATACTGGGTTAGGACCTAAATTAAGACTAGACGAACGGGTTTAGAAGACCATGGCCATGTCAATGACCAGCAGACTGGAGAGTCTCTATCAATAAATATTTACTGAAGGCCTACTCTGGGTCAGGCACTGAGCTTCCTGTCTCATAAGAAAAACATCATTCCTCACACAACCACATTACTGACTGAATAATTACAAACTGAAATGATGCATGGAAGGAAAGAATGAAGCAGATAACAAAGGATAGTGGCTTAAGACTCAGGAAGTGGGAAGGAAAGTTTTCCCTAAAAAAAGCGAGGATTAGGTAGGAATTAAAAAGGCAAAGTGTACTGAAGCAGGAGCAACACACATCATTCCAACAGCAAAACGTACAAGCAGCGGTCCTGTGGCAGACGTATACCCTGTGTGCTCAAGGGTCTGAGAGAAGGCAGTGAGGTTGAAGGACAAAAGCAGATGAAGGACAGTGGGGGCAGGGCTGCTAAGGCTGCTGGGAGCTCAGTCATCTATTGTAGGACGCGATAGGGCTTCTTTTTCAGAATATTCTAGCCTCTCCTACTTGTGTATTTTACCATGTGAAATTCAGAGTCAGCTTGTCAAACTCCCAAAAACCCTGTTGGTTTTTTTATTGGGACTGTGTTAATTTTATAAATAAATTTAAGGAAAATTGACATCTTTTAAATGTTGAGTATTCTAAATAAAATCATTTTTTTCCATTTGTTCACGATTTCTATGTCCCTTAGCTATGATGATTAATTTTATGTGTATACTTGACTGAGTCACAGGGTACCCAGATACTTGGTTAAACATGATTCTGGGTGTGTCTGCGAGGGTGTTTCTGGATGAGACTGACATTTGCACTGACTGAGTAAAACAGATTGCCCTTCCCACGGGTGGGGGGCGGGGGGGCCCTCACGCAACCCACTGAAGGCTGCATAGAGCAAAAAGGCTGAGCAAGAGAACTCGCTCTCTGTCTGAAGCTGGGACATCAGTCTCTTCCTGACGTTACACTCAGACTCGGGGTGGAACTTACCCATCGGCTCCCCCGAGTCTCCAGCTCACCAAAGGCAGATCTTAGGACTTCGCAGCCTCCATTATTGCAGGAGCCAATTCCTTATCCTAAATCCCTTTCTTTAAAAAGCTGAAAGAACACAGGAATGTATTTATTCACGGCTGAGCTTTTCCTCTTAGCCCTTGCTTTCTACCCCACACATGCTCACGGAGTCTTCTTCGTGGCTGTCTTCCAGACAGTCTTCAATTTGGCTTGGACTTCTCGGACCTGAGTTAAGAGCTTTGTGGCGCTGGTGACCCTTTGTTTTCCGGGTCTGTTATGGATTTCTGTGACATAGCACTGTGCTCAGAGCACACCGTCAGCATTCAGGAATGACAGTCACTGCTGTACACCAGTGTAGCTGCCCACCGTCCGTGCAGAACTGGGTCCACCCAGACTGGAAAGTGCCCTTAGGTACCAGCCATTGTGTATTTGCACCATCATCCTTCCTATGTTATTCCTACTTCAGGAAATTTATTGAGGCTTCTATGAATGCTCAATTTTATGAGTGCCCCAGGGGCACTGAAATGGAAGGTGCAGTCTCTGTCTTCTGGGCTGAGGTCAACCTTCCTATCCTATATAATAAAAGGCTAATATGCAAATTGACCAAGCAGTGGAATGACTGGTTGCTATGATGCGCACTGACCACCAAGGGGCAGACACTCAATGCAGGAGCTGCCCCATGGTGGTCAGTGAGCTCCCATAGGGGAAGCGCCGCTCAGCCAGAAGCCGGGATCATGGCTGGAGAGCGCAGTAGTGGTGGCAGGAACCTCTCCTGCCTCTGTGCTTAAGGATGTCCCACTGCCGGCTCAGGCCTGCTCCCTGCAGGGAATGGGCCTAAGCCATCGGTCAGATATCTCCCGAGGCTCCTGGACTGCCAGAGGATGAAGGCCGGGCTGAGGGAACCCCTCAGTGCATGAATTTCGTGCACCAGGCCTCTAGTTACTACATAATTCTCTATCACCTTATAGCAGTTGTATTCTTGCCTCAGACATGCTGGTGCTGTTTCACTTGGTGCAGTTCAGAACTTCCACATCTTCCTTGTGAATTGTACCACGCAGCATCAGAACATGCCTTTATTTGTCTTGCTTCATCCTTTCTGCTCAGAGTTCAACCTTTTCTGATATTGAGATCATGACCCCTGGTTTCTTGTTGGTTGCATCTGACTACGTATACCTTTGTTCCATCTTCTTATTTTCTTTTTTTAAGTATGTTTATTAAATTGATTTTTCAAATACAGAGGGAGGGAGAGGGAGAGAGAGACAAACATCGATGAGAGAGAAACATCAATTGGCTGCCTCCTGCACACCCCCTACTGGGGGTCGAGCCAGAAACCTGGGCATGGGCCCTGACTGGAATTTGAACTGGTGATCTCTTGGTGCATGGGATGATGCTCAACTACTGAGCCACACTGGCCAACCCCATCTTTTTATTTTCAACCTTTCCATATCACTTTGTTTCAGGAGTCTCATCTATATATATAAAAGCATAATATGCAAAGTGTCCCCTTAAGAGTTCGACCGACCAGGAGTTCAATCACTCACTATGACATACGCTGACCACGAGGAGGCAGCGGGGAACGAAGGAAGGCCCCGTCAGCAGCTGGCAACCAGGGAAGGCAGGGCCCAGCTGGCAGCTTGAAAGAGG